ATGGGTTTTCTCATAAAAGTTACTAATCAAATATGTTCCATTTTTACAGAATTGTAAAAGAAAAAAGTTTATTTCCTGCATTTTGATTTGAAATTTTTTTTTGTTTAAATTTTTTGAAATAAACTTTAGATGAAAATTTTGAAGTACTTTAACAAATCTTCATATGTTGTTGTTGTTGTCGTAGGCAATAAAGGCAAGAGGTGCGATTGTTCTTGTTTTCCAGTGGCGCCATCTATGAACAAGAATTCTACTTCTGCCACATCCACACGTCACACCCGTTTATAGGACGGACCTTTCCTTACATCCATTTATTCATCCACAGAACTAAACCAGTAATATTTGCGCTCAACTAAATTTTAAATTGAAAAAAAAAATTGTTGATCATTCCTTGAAAGAAAACTTCTCAAAATATTTTTCTGATTAAGGTTCTTCAACATTGTTTTAATGTTTTATTTGATTGATTTGTTGTTAATGTTCCATTAAAAGCTACACTAGCGGGCTATTGGTGACGATCAGAGGAATTATTTTTGGAAATTACATTTAACCTACTGCACTATTCGCGAATAAATTGTTTAATGTATATATATATACATACCTGCCAACATTCACTCTTTTCGAGAATGTATTTTCCAAGTGGTATAAAAACAATTACCGAAGAACTATCTTCCTCAAAAACATATTTTCATTTTTATCAGGTTGAAATTCGCTATCGAAAGGACTAATATGCTTTTTATATATATATATTGTAATTATTTATATGTAGTGGTGGTCAAACTGATTTAAAATTATTATTATAATTCAAAAAGTTTAGTGAAATAACATGAATTTCGCTAGCACTTTAAATACGAAAATAAAATCTTCCGGGAAAACCGGAAAAAATGGCTGCGTGCGTGTGTGTGTGTGTGTTTTCCTTTATTAAGATCTTGTCGTAACTTTTTTTTTCAGGCGGAAAAGGTATTCAAGACGTTCCTGTTTCTAATTGTAACGCAGATGGTACATACGCTCCACAGCAATATGGCAGTATGGGACGTTGTTACTGCGTTGATTCGGACGGAAACAAAGTGGACCAAAAGTGCCCATGTAAATAAAACGCCTGTTTTATCCCTACGTTCAGAAAAGTTATTTAATTTTTGTTCAAAATAAATAAAGACGTACATTTCTGCCTTAACATTTGGTCACTTTTCTTGTCTTTTCAAATAAATACAATTTTTATCAATGAAAATACCATATTTACAAAACTGACGTCGCTGCTTTGAATAAAATATTGTAATTGAAATTTATGCCAATCATTACATAGGGTGAGTCTGAACAAGACGATAAAACTTTACTGGGTGATAAAAGATGATATTCATCATAGGATATATGATTATAACACAAACAGAGAGAGTTTACCTTTAAGGTAAAGGTATATAAGGTATTTTGATTATAGGAACAAAATAAATTTACTTATCAAAAAGTAAAATAGCGTCTTCATCAGAAATACCACTTCTAATCCTTTAACTTTTCTTTATTCAAAAAAATATGAAAGACATAATAGCAAATAAAAATTAAATATTCAACAAAATATAAAGTCGAAGCGAGAGCATAATGCTTTTAGACAGAAAAGCTGTTCCATCATTTCGTCTTAGCAACCAGAGATACAAATCGTTTTCTTTTTAAAATAAAACGATACAAATTTCAACTTATAGCTCGCACACAATTAAATAATAAATAACTCACTCATCGAATCATGTTTGAGGGAAAACAAACAAGTATCGCTTAAATATCTGCCACTCAAGTTCGATTTAACGCGGAGCAAGCATTTAACTGAAACATAAGTGTATTCAACTCAAGTTGATTAAAAAAATTTCACTCTTTTTTGAGAATTAACTAACTCTTTTAAGCTATTAGTTCTACACTGTCACGTTTAAAGAATTAACACAAGAATAGGAAAAGACGTTCAAAAAAAGCTTTTTATGTGATGTACAACAATTTTTTCGGAGATATGCTCAAAAAACTTGTTTTCTGTTTTCAAAAATGTACAGTGCACCAGAAAAAAAAAATTTTAAAAAATGGACCACTCTAAATAACTTTTGATTTCATGCTCGTCTTTCCATGTTCTAGGACTTAGTATGCTAATTAATTAACGCAGACTATATTTTAAGTTACGGAATAAGGCGCAAAAAAGTAATTTCTCTGAATAAACATACTCTATTTGTAAAGGATTCAGATTACTGATCTCCAAAATATAAGGGGTAGCTGCAATCTGGGAAATATGGTCTCCATATTTCCCAGATTGCCAGGTGCAGTTTGGTCAGGAGAGCGATCCTAAGCTTGGACTCCTTAATGCTAGTTTTACTATATTTCGAGAACTTTTTAAGTGTATTGAAAATTTTTTGCTCACAGTTATAAAATTCGGTTATTCAAAGATAATTCAATGCGAAAAATAAATTTCAGTAAATATATATTATTTTTTATTATTTTATTTAATGATAGTCGAAAACATTATAAAGTGTAAGATGTTCAATTTTTTTACATTACTTTAAAGTATGTAATTTTACATGGCAAAATACAAAAATAGAGCAAAATCAATCGAGTAGATCCTGAGAAATCGAATTTCTAAAAAGTTATATTTTCAAAATTTGATTTTCAACCCATCACGCTCAAATTTTGTATTTTGCCATAAAAATTCACACACTTTAAAATATTTTAAAAAACTACATATCTTACATTTCAAAATTGTTTCAGTTATTATTAAATAAAATATTGAAAAATATTAAATATTTACTAAAATATATTTTTTTAATTCAATTATCTTTTGATATATTAATTCTATAATTGTGAGCAAAAAGCTTTCAATTGGCTTAAAAAGTTCTCGAGATATAGCGTAATACTCAAATATCCGCTATATTTTTGGGGTCCGAAATCCATATTCGTCAAAAAAAGAGGTATGTTTATTAAGAGAAAGTTCGTATTGTGTCTGATTTCGTGACTTAAAATATCGTCTGTAGTAATTAATTAACGTATTTGAGGTCACCCTCTCAAACCATTAAGTCCTAGAACGTGAAGATTCGATAATAAGATCAAAAGTTATTTAGGATTTTTTTATGCACAACACTATGCATAAAATAAAAAAATGAACCTCCGTGAATACCTTTTGATCTAATGAACGGCTCTTCGCGTCGTAATAGTAATGGTTTGAGAGGGTGACCCCAAATATGCTAATTAATTAGTACAGACGATATTTAAAATTAGACCCAAAATCGTACATTCTCTGAGTATGCATAGTTTTTTTTTCAATGGATTCAGATTTCTGACCGCGAACATATTGGGGTTAGCCAAGACCTGGAAAATCCCCGACGCAAATGAATATGAATCTCGCAATAATTTTGATATCTAAATTAAATGTAAGCCAAATTCAAAGCTGAAATTCTAATTTTAAAACCATGCCTCGTATTAATCAGTTCTCTAAACTTGATATAGGTCAATTAATCTCATTCTGGATCATAGGTAAATGATATACTAAGTACACTTCCAAAATAAAAAATCCTTCAGTTCGTGCTTTTCAGAATTTTTCAATCGAACAGATCAATTATGGGTTGAATAAAAGTATAGTACGTTCTCGAAAGTTTTCTGCTTGAGAGGAAAGAAAAGTTATTCGAATAGGGTCAAATGAGTAAAGACCTTCAAATAAAGTTCGAAAAAACTCAAGCATGATGTCTTAAAAGATACAGTTCATAGGCCAATAAAGCTGAATTCTAGCATTGTTTTCTAAAATGAAGAGTGCTCCAAGCTTAAAACCTCCATATATAAGTAGCAAGATTAAACTTTTTCGCAAAAAAGAAAAAAAACATGATTACTGACTGGTTACTGGCAAATATTAGAACATCATTTTTCAAAGAAAAATGGAAGAATTTTACTCCAAATAATGTTCATAATTTCATTATTCGTTATTTTTAGGGGTAAAAAAATTTTGATTTTATACTGTTCATACGAGACGCTAGAGGAAATTACGAAAAGAGAAGAAATATTCTTAATGAGATTTTTTTTCTGAAAGAATTATCGTGGTTTACGAGCCTAGTAGACAAGGCAAACTTAATTTATCCTTTCAGACTCATTCATCTAAACTTGTTCAACTACAAGACAACGCAGCCATGTACTCTAATGTAAGCGCTAATGACTGGTTCAAGAAAAAAATTGAGGCTATAGATTGGCCAGCTTGTTCCCCTGATCTAAATCCTTTGGAGAACCTTTGGAAGATTTCAATTAAAAAATGTATACGTACTGTCGTCAGTACAATAACAAGAATTATTTGCTACTAGCAATACAGAATGTTTGGAATGAAGTAGATTTTGAGACTTTAAAAGAGATTTCTAACAGTATGCCAAATAGACTACTTTTTATTAATCGATCGTGTGATTATTAAATCTATGTTTTTATTGAAAATTGTGAAATTAAGTATGTTTTACATGAAAGATATAGATAATTTTTCTATAATTTCTTATTTCATATCTTATCCAATTTACATTTTAATCTTTTTGTTTTTAGATTATCTCTTTGAACACCTTTTTTCAAATGTAATCAATATAGTTTCAATAAATATGACATAAAAAATTGAATTTAGCAGAAATCATGAGGGTATGCATAATTTCGCATTATGTGTACGGATTTATTCGTAAACTGATATTGACTTAACTCCTTCATTCCCAAAAGGTAGCAAACGGCTATCAGGTACTAAACCAAAAAATAATAATTAATCCATTTATGTTTCCTAAAATGCCTAAAATGTGAATGTAAAAGCCTTTAAATTTCGACATTGGTTGAAAATAAACTCAAACGCAAAAACTATGCTATTTTATTTTGATAGGAAAGCCGGATATTTTTAGCTTAGATTTTATAGGTTTTTCAATAAATTTCTAATGCAATTCCTATTTTTTCATATTACAAATCACATTCTTATTTACAATTTATTATTTGTTTTTAATTTATTGCCTCAAAGTCGCCAAAAAAGACTGCTCGCAAGTTTTTACGGTGTGTGACCGACACTTCTGAACAAATATGAGATGTTTGCTTAATGGTTCCATATAAGTGGAATTAAAGGCCAGGATTTAGTTCTTCATGTAAAAAAAATAAGTAAAACAGTTCTTGGATTAAATTTGAAATTTTTATTGCGTAAGTTTAAAATTTTTACTAAGCAATTTAATTTTATTATTATTATGAATTCAGTATTTTTAAAAAAATTATATATTCTATGGAAATCTAATGTACTAATTTTAAAACTACTTAAATTTGTATACATTATCAAAACTAAATCGAGTATGTATTAAATAATTACCCAATTTAACTTTTTAAAGAATGAAAGACGTTTACTAATCTACTTTTTCTGATAAACCTTTTAGTTGTAACAAACATGTTACATTATTAAGTAACTTTTATTTTTTCTCAAACTATATTTTCGTTTTATTTTGTTTATCATTATGTAAATAACCATGATCTGTGCAATTTATTTGCTATTTTAATTCGTTAATTATACAAATATTAGAGAATGATATAAATAAAACACGTTTTATTAAATTTTTAAAAAAAGTAAATAAAGGGAAACGTTTTTAAATTTATATTTTTAAAACGCAAGCAAACTACAAATAAAGACGCTATTACAATATAGACAAATATAGACGCTGTAGAACAATTGCAAAACTTTATTTTCGACAAAACTGTCTCATTTTTTATTCCACTAATTTTTAAACAATCTCTGTATTTGTAGTAAAGGCATGAAAGGATATAAAAATAAGTTAACTATTTGAGATTTGAATAATTAGAAAATGTTTAACTTTTTGAAACTCATTTATATTTTCGAAAAATATAATGTTCTCAGTTGTGAAATAACTATACACTTTAGCACTCGAAACTCTATTGGCAACATATTGCTTGACAAACTTATGTAACAATTATATTCAATTATTTCGTAATATATGTCAAAAAGTTAATACTCGTAATAATACAATCTAAAAAAAGCATTTAGTTGTGTATTTTTGATTTTCAATTGCACATTTTCATGCTTCAATGAAGAATTTGAAATTAAAATGAATACTAACAACTTAGAGCTCATACAATTAGTAATTGAAACTGTATTGTCAAGAAAAAGAAATCGAAAACAATATTTATCATAAATATAATACAATAACTGATATTTTTCAGAAATAAATTTTTTTTAAAAAGTAAAAAAACTTTTTGCATTCAGTTGATAATTTAACATAAAAACTAAAAAGATTATCGTTCTAAAAAACTGATGTAGTAAATAGAACAATGAAGAATTAAGAAACCGCATAATGCGAATTTTTAGAAGCATAGTTTATTTATTTAATTTTGTTAAATTATGCAAAATCAAATCCTTCTATGATAGTTTCAGGAGTCATTTAGCCAAAGAAAAAATTTGTACGTTTTTTATGGAAAATTTTACAAGAACTAGTATTAAAATTCGATGAAATAATTCTTCAATCTTTAAAATGCTTAGTGCTATAATTTAATCATAATGCAAAATCTGACACAAAAACGCATTTTTTTAAAGTAATGTTGATTTTTTTTTCTTATAAAATAAGTAGAAGGATGAAATATCAAAAAAAATATCTTCAACAAGTTACATTTATAGGGCAATTTTCAAGAATCAGATAATTCCTATAGACAATTTCATATTTTATGCCTAAAGGCAATATCATGAAAAATTAATTTGTCTAAGTTATTTATCATTTCTTAATAGCACAGGATAACTAAATTAGACTGACGTTTTCAAAACTTAATAACAGCAAAACATCTTAGGTTTCAAAAAAATCTTGCTGTTAAATCATGAGACAGATCATAACAATTTTTTCTCAGAATTTCTGGTTTTAGTTCAATTTTTTCAACAGATGGCGCTGCAGATAGTAAACGTAAAAATAAAAAAGTACTTAAAAATCACAAATTTGCAAATTTCTAAACTTTCAATGCATAAAAATAACATTCTAAGATTTTCGATAATAACACATAACGTAAGTATCGAACATCATTAGACGAGAACTTGAACTCACTAACAAAATACTCAAGATACACAAAAACAATCCAACACATGCATCAAAATGCATTGGTGTGACTCGAATTGACAGAGGCCGCTGTCGGAAAATTTTAGAACTAAACCCTGAAATAGTTAAAAAAATAGTTTGTCACTTGAATTTACATTTTTGTTTGTTTGTCACATGAATTTACATTGCCACATTTTTGTTTCTCACATGAATTAGGCGTAAGAGTTATTTCTAACCGTTATCCAGTTATTAAGTTTCAAAAAACTTCAATATAAATTAAGACACAATTTAGAAATAAAATTTTTAATTGTAGAAATTATTATCATTCCATAAAAATGTAAGCTATCCAACTAAATTAGGCTTTGTTTATTAACAATTGAAACCTAAAATGACAATAAAAAGGCAGAAAAGTTTTCTACTCATATAAACTTTTATATCACGCAAAACATGACAATATCTAAAACTTCAAATAAATTCATCGGATATTTTTCAGAAATTACAACTAATGAAATGGGACTTTTTTTAAGTATACCTCATTAGTTTCTTTGAATTTTTATTTCTCAAGAGCTACTTTAAAGATTTTTGAGCTATCAAAAATAAATAGTTGAATGAATGATAGTGACTTTTTAGACCATGTTAATAAAACCATTTCATTCATTATTAAACAGTGCCAATTAATAATTGAAAAAAATATTTTTGTATGAAACAATTTTTGAGATTGCAAGTTTTGTAGTAATCTACTGAAATTCAATTTTTAAAAAAATATGTTTTTTTTTATGAGTGGATTAAAAAAAGAAGAAAATCGTTCGATTTTTGTCGTATCGTAAAAGTAGAGCACATCGTTTTTATCAAGAACTCCTAGCTTCAACAAAATGTCTAGCACCACGCGTTAAAACACGAGCTAGAACTGATTAAAAATACAACTGAAATATTAAACCACAAACTAGAACATTATTAAAACACAGTTCTACCAAATTCGCGATCGCAACGCTCGAGTACGCCCTCTAGCGGGAGCCTGAAAATATCAGGCATAAATTTATTAAGCTTTCATTTAGTTCCATCAAAATCATTGGCAGAATCAGATGCCATTTTCTTAGCAGCAAATAAGAAGCAAAATTTCCCTAAGGAAAAGCAGAAGAACTTGGAAAAACTCTTCAGAATGTTGGTAAATCTTTCAGAAACAAAACAAGCCAAACATATGAAGAAAAATTTCTCAATAATTTTAATTTCTATTATATACAAACTTGCAACTGATAACTTCCGATTTCGGGAACGCATACTGTTAGAGATGTGTTATTACGGTAAAATACATTTCTTCTGTCTTCAATTCATTACAAATTAAAGTAAAGTCAACATTGCTTTCTTCATTCCAATGAATAAATGTGAATTCAAAACGTACAGAACTGTAATAGTTGTAGAATATTCTTCTTCTTTACAGAATAGTATATATTTCTGTATCTATATAATTCGGAAAACAACAATCATCTGAAAAAGATCACTTGAAATAGTATCATTTGTTCTGATTATTAGCAAATTTTAATCGTTTTCTTGATAAGTGTTTTTTAGTTTTGAAAAAATAATTTCAACTAGAATTCAGCTATTTTGTTTTTAAGCTACATATTAAAATTCATATCGAGATTTTACAATTGTAAAATTTCGCTGTGTGGTATGTTATCTAAAAGTAATGAAGGGATAAACTATGTATATATTATTTGAGAATAAAGTTTTCAAACAAAGAACATATCATTTTCGAATTCTCCGGATTTATAAATCAGATAAGTGTTATGATTTTTATAATAAAAAATTTGCTTGTAACATTATTTTTTTCTTATTTGATGATAGTTCTCCACAGAATGGTTTTTACGTCTGATTAAGAACTAAAAGAATGTAAAAAAAACAATATGGAAGTTTTTTATTTCAATATGAGGAATTTTTAAAATCGTTTTTTTATTCTAAGAATTCTTTATTTCACGTCTTTTAGTTTATAATTTTTTGATAAAAATTGTTGTCAAAATACTTTTTTTGAAAAATTAAATGGTATAACATTACGTGTTTATGTATACTTCTTGCATATTCTTTTGTTTAAAGTAATATGATTCAGAAAAGTATGGAATAAAAATTCGGTACTTGCGTATTAACGCCACCGCAGCTACAGATTTCGTTGTTTTTAAGTGTCGCCAATCTGCACCTAAATCTTTGGTGACAAATCATGAAATAAAACACTTTATTTATAATCAAAACACTTTCAAAATTCAAAACACTTCATTTAAAATCAAAGTAGTCAATCGGATTTCGGTAGAAAATGGGCCGATATAGAGTTTAACATGGATTCAAAACAGTCTCTATTTTCTTTCTGTCGCCATATGAACTCTAATAAATAACATTCCAAATGAAATAACATTTCCAAAACGTATGTTTACCAAGATAAAGTTTCATGTCATGGAAATTGGCATATTTTCGCTTTTTTGGTAAAATATTTCGATCCTGAAAAAATAAAATTGCATCTTGTTCTGTTTTTGGCAAATCCCAATGACGCATTTTCGTAGTATTAAAAAATGGCATCAAAAATTAGCAAACAACAAGGCAACAGAGAATCCAAAAGATGATATCCAGGATCTAGTTATATGTTATATCATATAACCAGGATATAATTTTCTATAGAATGGTTTTCTACTTCCGATTATGAATAAAATTTTAAAAAAACATTTTAAAGTTTTTTTTTAATGTGAGGAATTTTTAGAATTGCTTTTTTTGTATCGTAAGCATTCTTTATTTTACGTTTTTTAGTTTCCAAATAATGATTTTTATTGAAACTTTTTTTTTGACAAAAATTGCTGTCAAAAACTGTTTTTACAAAATTAAATTATGTAAAATTAAATTATATAAAATTACGAGGCTTATGTATTCGCGATCGCAACGAACTATAGGGGGCGTTGTTGAATGAGACGAATACCTGCGATTTTTATATGAGTCAGCAGTCATTCAGTTACTCTAGAGACGACTTTAATGTAGCGTGTAACATTGCAACGTACCTTCTATATTGTGACTTATTAAATTTAAAAAAGAAAAATTTTTGATTATTTTTTTTATGCAAACGGAAACAAAATGGTATTTCTTCTTCTTAGAGAAAGAACATCCAAAACACATCGGAAAAATATTTGTACAGAAACAGAAAAAAAATATGTATATTCTTGCATGAGTTAAAACCTAATGCCCGGGAAATAGTTTTACTAAATTTAATGATATAACATGAAAGGCCTATTTAAATTTTACATTCCATAGTTTTAAGAATCATATTACTTCAAGAATTAAAATGAACAAAAAGTATACATAAACCTCATAATTTTATGAAATTTAATTTTGTAAAAAAAGTTTTTTGAAAACAATTTTTATCAAAAAATTTCAAGTTTCAATAAAAATCATTATTCAGAAACTAAAAAACGTAAAATAAAGAATGCGTACGAAACAAAAATAAAAAAAATAATAAATTCTTTTTTGTCGCCATTTTTTAGTGCTTTAAAAATTCGTCTTTGGGATTTGCCAAAAACAAAACAAGATTTAATTTTATTTTTTCAGAAGCGAAATATTTTATCAAAAAAACAGAAATGTACCAATTCTTACGACATGAAACTTTATCTTGGTAAACTTAATTTTTTTGGAAATGTTATCTCATTTGGAATCTTATTTATTAGAGTTAATATGACGACATCATAAGTTGAACGAAAATAGAGATTGTTTTGAATCTATGTTAAACTTAATATCGGCCCATTTCCCACCGAAATCCGATTGACTACTTTTATTTTAAATAAAGTGTTTAATTTCATGATTTGTCGCAAAAATTTTAGGTGTAGATTGGCGGCACTTAAAAACTGCCAGATATGTAGCTGCGGTGGCGTTAATACATAAGTACCGAATTTTTATTCCACACTTTTCTGAATCATATTGCTCCAAACATTAGAATATAAAGAAGTATACATAAACACATAATGTTATACCATTTAATTTTTCAGAAAAAGTATTTTGACAACAATTTTTTATCTAAAAGTCATAAACTAAAAAACGTAAAACAAAGAATTCTTAGGGTAAAAAAACGATTTTAAAAATTCCTCATATTGAAATAAAAACTGTCATATTGTTAAACTGTCATCATAAGAAAAAAAATTATTTACAAGCAAATTTTTTATTATAAAAATCATCTTTATAAATCCGGAGAATTTCAAATAAAATGTTCTTCGTTCGAAAATTTTATTTTCAAATAATATCTACATAGATTATCCCTTCATTACTTTTAGATAGCATACCACACAGCAAGATCTCGATAAGAATTTTAATATGTAGCTTAAAAACAGAATAGCTGTATTCTAGTTGAAATTATACTTTCAAAACTAAAAAATACTTACCAAGAAAACGATGGAAACGATGAAATAATCAGCACAAATGACACTATTTCAAGTAATTTGGATGATTTTTTATTGTTGTTTTCCGAATTACATAGATATAGAAATATATACTATTCCATTACGAAGAAGAATATTCTATAACTATTAAAGTTCTGAATTCACATTTATTCATTAGAATGAAGAAACCAATGTTGACTTCACTTTGATTTATAATGAATTGAAGACAGAAAAAATTTATTTTACCGTAATACACACATCTGTAACAGTATGCGATTCCGGAATCGGAAGTTATCAGTTGCAAGTTTGTTCATAATAGAAGTTAAAAATTATTGAGGAATTTTCTTCAAATGTTTGGCGTGTTCGGTTTCTGAAAGATTTACCAATATTCTGGAGAGTTTTTTCAAGTTTTTTGGCCTTTACCTTAGGGAAATTTCGCTTCTTATTTGCAGCTAAAAAATGGCATCTGATTCTGTCAATGATTTTGATGGAACTAAATGAAAAGTTAATAAATTAATGCTTGACATTTTCAGGTTCCCGCTAGAGAGCGTACTCGAGCGTTGCGATCGCGATTACTTTTTGGCTATTTTAATGTTTGAAGTAGTATGATTCTTAAAACAATGGAATGTAAAGTTTAAATAAGCCTTTCATGCTATATCATTGAATTCGGTCAAACTATATCTCAGGCACTAGGTTTTAGCTCTAATAAGAAGATACATATTTTTTTCAGTTTATTTACAAATATTTTTCCCATGTGTTTTGGATGTTCCTTCTCTTAAAAAAAGAGATACCATTCTGTTTTCGCTTCCATAAGAAAGAATATCAAACATTTTTCTTTTTTTAAATTTAATAAGCCACAATTAATAAATAGTTGATCAATTTATATTTATTCATAAAATTAATTAATGGAAAATTACGTAAATAAAAAATTTATTTCTGCCAATTCTTTAAATAAAATATTATAAATTTAAGAATTGTTTAAGTTTACTTAATGCGCAACACATTAAAAGTGATACATAACTAAGCTGTGTTATTTAAAATATGTCAATTGAAATTATTAAAGATGTCAGTGATTTTATTTCCAATATTCGCTCGAAATTAATATTCCGTGTTAAGCAGTATAGGCTAAATACCAAATATTTGTATAATGCATCTCTAATTTAGTAGGAGCAATTGTTGAGCAGAATCTTGTATCTATTTACAATTCAAACACTTCTTGAAAAAGTGCTTAGCAATTTTGGCAATGACAGGACCCTATTTGCACAAATTCACAAAAGCAGGACCCTGGTTGAAAGAATGTGACTTAACGCTTATTTTATATTCACAAATTATGAATAGTTTTTTCACAATTTTACAAAAACAGGACCTTTCACAAAATGTCTGGACAGACCCCTGATTTAGGATTACATAGCCTAAAAAAATATGGGAGCCGCTGATCTGAACTATACACAGTAATAAAAATGTCATAACATCACTGATAAAAGCTTTTTTTATAATTAATTAGTTATATATTCAATTACTAATACATTATTTAAATCACATGGTATGCTAACAATTGTCCGCATTCTTTCAGAACAAAAATGAAGTTATTGGGCTATGTTATATTGATTGCATGTTTCTTTGCTGTTTTGAATGCTGATGATATTATGGGCTGCAAAGAGAAGCGTAGTAGAGCCAAGGCATTATGTAAGAAATTAAAATTTAAAATTTTTTATGTAAAAAATATTTCATTGTACAGAACAATTAAAAAAAAGTATATTATATGGGCCAAATACGACAATACGAATAAATTACATGGAACTTCAGAATTTTATAAAAATATATCTAATAATAAAAATAAATAAATAATAACTTTAAATAATAAAATTGTTTTAATAACCAACTTTTACAATATTTTTACAAGGAAAAAAACACCTTTTATGTTACGTTTTAAGATTCAGAACCCAAATGAATTCTATAAAATATTATCATTTTCTGGGGGGGGGGGGGAATAAAAGTTGCTGCCACCGCTCTTTAAAAGTGTTACTTAAACGATAGAAATAAAAATCTAATTCTAGGTTAGAAATAAATTCTTCTACAGTACAGTCCTTTTTACAGTAGAAATAAAAATCCAAGGCTCATACTATAGATTACCATAATTGCAAGTTCAAAGCTAACTCAGTGTTTAGAAACTCTAAGCGATAATAAGAAAAAAATTTATTTTTGGAAAAGCTCAATTTTGTGGCACGTTATTCCGTTTGTTTTCATTAGAAAGCTGATTAAGTTTTTGCATAACTATTTAGAAATTTCGGCTTTACACTCGCATTTGTGTATTAAATGCTGCGTAGTAGCACCTTTATGAGTAAGATTAAAAAATTTTAAGATTTAAAAGCATCCATACTTTATGAACAGGCATTTTATACTTTATGAACAATCACGTATCATTTTTCAAGCAATATAGCGACAGTGCGCGTCGCATTTTTAAGAAGTGCTTAAAGGTGCTTATTTTTGATTTATGTTTTTTAAAAGCCCTTAAAGGTGCTTTTTTATTCGGAGTATTTAAAAAGGGCTTAGTTTTCTAGCTTTTAAAAAGAGATTTTCTCTTTGCTTTGTCGATTGTCGTTCTAAATTGCAAAAAAAATTGTAGATTTTCGCAATATTCTCAGCAAGGGCCGGTATAGCCTGGTTGGTAGGGCACTGGGCCCATGGCCAAGAGGACGTGGGTCAGATCCCCGCCGGGTCATGTGCAGTATGTGATGACTGATGCGCGTTAAATCTCTCGAGTCACAAAGACCTCCATGTTCCCATAGCAAATCATACATCTGGAGTTACTGATACAGGAGTTTCCTTGTCTTCTGGATTGGCTCAAAATTACAAGGCTACGGAGTTGAACATTAGTAATCGTAAACCCAAAATAGGGTGGTTGTTCAACGACGGTTATAAAATTATAAAACAAATTTTTCTCTGCAATATTTATAAGATACTAGACATTTTATCATGATCATTTTAAGTTTTTGAAAATGGTTATTGAGTTTTATTGATTTTATGTTTATAAATTAAGAACTTTAAACAATAGAAAAAAATAATTTTTATTGCTGCACAGATCCAAATTATGATTTTTTTTGGAAAGTGATTAAAAATATTTATAGTGTTTAAAAAGTACTTAAAAGATGCTTATTTTTTAATGAAAAATATGGCTACTCATACTGAGTAACGTCTGGATTAATCAATAGGCAATCTAATATGATAACTACCCATATCATTAAACTAACAATATCATGATGATCGATTTCTTGGATATTGCTATACAGGTAGTAGGTTCTTGGTTTAAATGGTTCTCACTCTTATATGGAGACTACCAAGGACCTGCCCTCAAATGTCTGAGAAATCGACCATAATGGCAGCGGAAGCTTGATGGTATGGGTAGCAATCATACGGGATGGCCTTTCCATTACTTTCAAAGAGGCTCTCTGTCTAGTGAAGACATAGATCTTAGATCCCTAAGTTTGCCTTTTTAGGAGTATTTCCATTTAAATGGACGACAAAAATATGCGCCCACGTGGAACTGATCAGGACGAGGATTTATTTGGAAAATGAAAATATTCATCGAGTCGATTTGTCAGGCAGGTCACGTGTTACTCGCAATCAGATATATATATANTCTGTTAATGTACATATATTTTTCCGATGTGTTTTGGATATTCCTTCTCTAATAAAAAGAGATACCATTTTGTTATATATATATATATATCGGCAATAATATGTACGCAATCTCAGGGAATTAACTGGCTTCATTAGTTAGGCCTAGTTGGTGCGATAAAATTTTGGTTGTTTAACCATATTAAATGAAAGTAGGAAATAACGTTTTTTTCCCACAGTTAACAGCTTGATTATCATCTTATTAATGGTTATTTGACTGTTTTCTTTGATTATGGCAAATTATTTAAAAAAAAATTGTTATTTAACCATTCTTTCCGTAAATTTTCTAGCGGTGTAGTTCGGAGATCCTGAATGAAAGTTCTGTAGCCATTAGAATAACCAAGCGAAGGTTTCTTAGTTTCTCACTTTTTTAATGCAAAATCGTAATAGTTTTGTTAATTTTCAGCATTTTTTTTTTTTTTTTTGCTCCAGTTTAGTACTAAAAAGTTTCTTTGCCATTTGAGTTGCAGTCAAGATTTAAAGTTATATTAACTGGCAGATATAAACTGCATGTTCGAATGTAAAGCATCTGTTCTAAAACATATAATAGCAATAATAGTTTATAATAGTTATATAATTATTAACACCACAAAATATGTCATATTTTAGGGCATGGGGATTTTTGTACTCTAGTGTATAGTTCATCACGTTCAGTAAAACTATAATTATAACGTCAATATTATTCCTTTTTTATTCTTAGATAAGAACAGCGTTCCAGACGTTCCTATTCCAATGTGCAATTCAGATGGTACCTATACCAAAAAACAATACACTAGCATGGGTAAGTGCTACTGCGCTGATCCAGCAGGAAATCCAATTGACGGTCAAGAGTGCCCATGTGAATGAAAAATCACCCCTGGAATTATTTGAATAAATTTATTCCTATTTAATAAACATTTGTGCTTTTGATCTTGGTATTTTGTAACTTTCACTGTTAAGCAATTTTGCAATGATTTGCATGATTACAAATATAAATGCAAAGAAAATTTAAAAATTTGTAGTTCTTGACTGGACTTAACTCTTATTTTAGAAAGTTGAACTAAATCTAAAGTATAGATCTGGATTTTAAAAAAAAATCGTGAAATATCTTACTTAAAAATTATATCATTAGAAAATGGTATCCATAACTGACATGGTATACATAAACAACGCCCATAACGCATAAGTTTTTTAAACTTTCGTCAAAAATGAGGTCTAAGATGCTTACACATTAGAGGGTGACAAATTGGCAATTATATGGGTAAAACCTCACACGTTATCTTAAAAGGTAATCACAGCAAAAAAATATTAAAATCATTAAAACTTTGATATTTATAAATAAACCGAAATCACGTGAATTAAGTAAAAATAAAGGTTCAGAAATGGACATATTGAAATTTCAGTTCTATAAACAAAAACTTTCTTCAGTGACGAAACAAAAAATGACAATAAAAAGTAACGAGACGAACAAGTTACAATAAAGAAAAAAGTGATTTAACCAATAGGAAAAAGCTTAAACAAGCATATAAGGACAATTTTTGTCGACAAAAAAATTATAAAATTAACTTAAAAGCTGCGTAAAATTAGAAAGCCTATTTCTAATGAATAAAAACTATCCCTAAATTAATGCAATTTTTTAATGTTAATCACTTTAAAAATTGGTGTTATATTTGTATCAAAAATTACCATTTTAAGCAAACAAACAATGTAAAATCGGGGGCTCATTGTTAAATTCTAATTGTGCAATTTTGCTCAGAACCCGCTCCTGGTTACCATGATATCCCTTGCTTCTATTGAGGTCACTTTCAAAATACCCTAATTTTTGCCTATCGTTATTCGATTGTTTCTTGGTTTATTTTTCTATACAAGTGGGCTGCGCCCCCTGCTCGCTAACACTCGCCAACCCCCGAAAATTGCTACGCAATCTTATATGGTTTGCTTCGCAAACCAAGCTCACTTCGCTCGCTACTAACTTAGGTGCATTGCAAATGCACAAAATCCTAAGAATTCAAAACAATCATTCAAATCCATATAAAAAATTTATTTTTTAAAAAAAATTACATCTCTTTATTGTAAATACTAAGTCATTAAAATAAATTTGAATTCAAATAAATGACGTGTAATTCGTTAAACCTATTAGAAATTTGCTATAGTGTAAAATCTTAAGATAAAATTTCTAAAACTGATATCTCTTTAAAAAGGTAAAAATTTTGGCTATAATTCAGTCTATTAATAAATAGACTGAATTAAAGTGAATTGAAATAAGTGAATTGCAATGGAAAAACCTGCATAAAACATTATGTTTTTAAAAAATAAGAACCATGAACGATTCGCAACCTTGTTAAAAACATAAGTAGAAGCCTTAGAACTTTGACATACAAAGCTCTCTCTGGTTATTTCAGTTTGCGTTTTTAAAAGCGCTATATTTTGAGCCACCTCAGCTAGATTTGACATGTGACATTTTTAGCGGCAAACATTGGTCGATTTTCTAGCGTTGCCATTCAGGGAGTTGTAATGAGGCTTTTTTGTCGCCGTGTAAGAGAAATATATATATATAGATATTAATTTAATTTCAAATTTTAACTTTATTTTTTAACCATCAGTTGTTCGCTTCTTATCGTTGCTGTAACTATCTTTGTCTGTCATCTCTACAAAAAATGTATTAAAAAATAAATAGCCCTTTTTTTAAACTGAGAGATAGGGTTACAAAATCCTCCCATAACATCCCATAACAAATCAATACCTCTGGAGCAAAGATGTAGCGAGAAGAAAAATTTTGGGTGGACGCACGAATTTATTTTTAGAATCTGACATATTAAAAAAAAATTATATTAATAGGTTGCTTCTGGATTTCAAAAGCATTTTATTTTACAATGGCATGATTATTAAAAAAAACCTTCAAAAACTAAATAAAATTTAAAAAATTTTCGTTAAAATTTTATTATGAATTAAATAGCAAATCAGAGACTATAATAATTAGGCAAATATTCAATACATCCTAATTTCTTTTCATTTAATGAAGGTAATGTACCCGTTATATTATTACATTTATAATACCTACTTGAAAGAAATGACAGCATGTCAAAATATATTTAGAAAATCAAATGAAAAAAATTTAATCTAAATATATATTTATTAAACCTTTAGATCAAAACTATTTATTACTGCAAGGTTCGTTAAAAATAACTACTAAAAATTTTTATAACATAAGCGAAAGTAATTACTAAAATTGCAGTAAATATGTAATGTATGTATATGTATGTATTATACCAAACTGCTTATTTTAACCAAAATGCATAGAATTCTCAAACATGTAAAAATATAAATGTAAATTAATAAAGTATGCAAAAAAGAAATAAAGGGTTAATTGTGAGATATAAAGCTAATTTTGCTCACATTGAACGCTGAACATACACTTAGCCCTTATTGAATGCTTTGACACAGAAAACAACCTAGACTAAAATCATTCTTTTCGAAGATAGGGCAAAATAATTGGTTCGCATTTTGAGTCCTTCAGGTTCCATTAATTGTTTCGTTATTTGTTGCTCTAAAGTCATTAGGGCTAGCCCAGATTTGAAATGAAAAATAAATTTGAAAACGCAGTTGTCCCACATTATAAACTGCTGTTTGTAGAAAATGCAACACCATGAAGGAATCATCAGAATCAAATGAAATATTATTTTAATAATGGATATAGGATATTATGCAAATTAATAAAGTTTCAGAGCCATCGCGCGTGCGTGGCGCGCGCAGCGCCCTCTGAATTGATGCTGAAAGCGTATAAATAAAGTGCTGTAGCGGGACGTTGAAAATAGTCTATGATTATTTGTTAGTGGCAAACGTTTAGTGAGACCTGAGTATGCCTCCACGACGGAAGAATAAGAAATTCAAGCAACTTACGGAGTTTGAACGAGGGAGGATAATCGGCCTTCGAGAAGGAGGATTTTCCTATCGCGCAATAGCAGCTCGTATGCAGCGGAACAGTTCCACAGTGATGCGAGTTTGGAAGCAGTGGACCGACGAGCACCGAACAACTCGAAAAACAGGCACTGGACGACAGAAGGTGACGTCAGAGCGCGATGATCGACACCTGCTCCGCATGGCGGTGAATGATCGCACAGCTTCCTCCAGGCAGCTGGCAGCACATTGGTCTACTGCTACAGGTGTACAATTGTCGGCTTCGTCAATTCGTCGTCGTCTGCTGCGCCGTGGATTGCGTGCAAGGGTGCCATTATACAGGATTCCCCTCACGGCGGATCATCGACGGCTGCGTCGGCAGTGGGCTCTTGAGCACAGAGACTGGCGAGCTGATTGGCACCAAGTTGTCTTTTCAGATGAATCACGCTTCAATTTGTGGACCCATGATGGCCGTGTTCGTGTTAGACGTTATGCCGGTCAACGCTGCCTTCCTGAGTGTATTATTGAACGACATAGTGGTCGAACACCCGGAGTTATGGTCTGGGGTGCGATTTCGTATCATGGACGATCCAATTTGATACGAATTGAGGGTAATCTCAATAGCAACAGATACGTCCGTGAAGTGCTACAGCCCGAAGTCGTTCCTTTCCTTCAAGGCATCCCTGGAGCTATCTTTCAGCAGGATAATGCACGCCCACATGTTGCGCGGACTGTTAGAGACTTCTGTTCAGCACAACGCATGCAACTTCTTCCTTGGCCTGCTTATTCGCCGGATATGTCGCCTATTGAGCACGTGTGGGATATGGTTGGTCGGCGTCTCACTCGTGATCCGCGTCCTGCAGTTTCCAAAGACGAACTTTGGTTGCGCATACAAGCGATATGGAATTCTCTTCCTCAAGCAGATATTCAACATCTGTTTGACTCCATGCCACGTCGTATAGCAGCACTTATTGCAGCGCGTGGTGGCTGCACCAAATACTGATTTCGGACGCTTAATTTGTTTCTTTTGTTTTGAAAATTTCATCATTTATTTGTATCAGTACAAGTCGTTTCTGCATTAAATTTCATTTGATTCTGATGATTCTTTCATGGTGTTGCATTTTCTACAAACAGCAGTTTATGAACTTATGGACTTTTATAGTTTCGAAAAGAAAGATTTTTGATGCATTATTATCATTTTTTAAATATAAGAAAAGATATAAAAGAACTTAATTTTAAGAGACGACAGTAATTTTAATATCAATTTAATTGATATTAGGAAGCGAATAAATTAAAGTAAGTGATATTAAATCATGCAATTCAAAAATAAAATATTCTAAATGAAAAAGAAAAGCATTTTAAAACGAAAGTATTAATTTAAACGTAATTTTAAAAAAAAATATTTACGTTGGTTTTTAGACAATTATAACAACTGACATTTATGCGCATAACAATAAAATTATTCAAAAATATGCCTAATACCTAAACGCAAGACACTAAATGCCTGCGTTTAAACTATTTAACAATAAACTTTTTTTTAAATAAAAATAGTCATTACTAGAGAAGTAAAAAATTAAAAAACTATGTTTAATAAATTTTTAAATAGATAATTTTTATAATAAATTAATTAATTAATAATTTTAAAATAAATTAATAATAAATTTTTAAATTCAGTAATGTTTAGTAATGTTCAGTAATATTACTAAATATTATCTACTAACATTTTTAATTATTGAATATTATTAATATTCAGTAATTATATTGGACGATAAAATAAGGAGAAATTCTATTTTTATTGGTCAAGAAACAATTAAAACTTGCATAATCGTCAGTCTTAGGTCTCCAGTAGAGAGATTCTCAGTTCTTCATTAAAATACATAAATCTTAAAAAATTAGTTGCAAGGAAATATCAATCTTAAATGAATAACTATAATATCCCACTTTACGTTATAAATAGAAACAATTTTGATGTGGAAATGTAAAAGTATTATCTTTTTTCTTGTATTTTAATACATCCAATCTAATTCCTAAAG